TGAAATACAAATGTGCATAGCAGACACATTACCTCTCACGCGATGTTTATGTTACCGTCACACGAGCGCACCTGTTGTTGTTTTTGTTATGTTTTCTTTCTTTTTTTTATCTTTTTTATCTTTTTTATCTTTTTTTTATCTTTTTCGCGTTTCGTCCGCGTTTCTTCCTCTGTTCATCTGTTGTTGGAGATGGAAAGCAGCAAAAAAAGATCAGCAAATTTTACAAATTCGGAAAACGAAGTTTTGGTTGATCTTGTGCATTCTTTTAAAGATATTTTATTTGCAAAATTTTCATCTGTTGTCACAGCCTCTACCAAACAAAAGAAGTGGGCTGAAATTACAGAAAGGCAAGTTTAATGGCCCTTTACTTGTAATTTTGAATTATGATAGTTATTCTTTGTTAATTGTATGAAAATATAAAAAACTTTAATCTNCTCAATCGATCAATTACCTGCTCAATAGACTTTCATCTGAAATACATTTGTATTTGTAACTGTTTTCACTCTGGGAATCTGTGTTAATGAATTTTGATTAATTTTTTTTGTATAATAATGTCATAAAACTTATTGGACGCACCCTAAGCTTACGATCTGACCCATGTCATTTTTCTTTGTTTTAAAACCTCTATATGGTCTTTCAGTTATATCTATATCTTCTGACTTCACTGGTTGTAATGGGTGCCTAACTATACTATTGTCTACCAGCACAGTAAGACAACTTTCCGTGTTTGTCATGATTGACATCATGCAATCTCTTACCTCCTAATATAGAGCTAACTGTTACCTAGTTGTGTTGATTTATATACACAAGTCATCAAATATTCCAGTGTGAGTGTGCATTAAATAATAATAATTTTTTTTTATTTTTGCACATGTAAACTTCTAAATTTTTGTAAGATGGCATATAACAAATTGAAACAGTTTGTTTGAGCAGCCTGGTAGATATTTCGTAAAAAAACATAGCACTTTATAGGAAAAACATGGTAAGACCAGCTGTTGTACATATCAATGTATAGTGGGGATTAAGGTTTGGTTATTTTTATTGCATGAACAATATGCCTGTTATCAATATTGCACCCTGTATGTGTACCCTGTGTGACAGGAATGGTAGTCCTAGAAATGGAAATCCGGGGTCCCATATGATAAATATTGGTTAGTGTCAGTCGGAGTATTGGGGTTAGTATATGGGACCTGTACAAAGTAATGGGAAGTGGACTGCGGTTCCAAGCATTCTACCATTCCTGTTGACACCTACATCCAGCTTATGTTGAGGGTTTGTAATTTGCACAGTTCTTTTGAATCAAATTAGGTAAAGGGTAGACGTTTCAGCAGACTGAATTTCTTACCTTTTATTAAAATCATCTGCTAGAATCTGGAGTTCAGGGATATCGGATAGCTTAAAACAAAAAGAGACTGTAAGATGAGAATCAGGGGCCGTATTCTCAAAACTTTGTAACTTACAACAATTTGTAACTATTTACGTGAATTTGTATCTTAGACTTACACGGTATTCTCAAAACTCTTGTAAGTCTCGGACTTACAAACTCTTGTAACTTTTCGCGTAACTTTCCGGAAGTGACGTTTGACCTGAATAATGACGAGCCATTCCTTTATTCCAGCCTCAAACTATCATGAATAAATGCATGAAACAAGTCAAAAATGTTTTATTCGTCACTTGGCTCTGGATATAAACCTTAAACAAATTGGAATTGGGTGGTTATGTTGCTCTCGTTTCTAAAAATATCGAATTGGCTTTTCTTGTATGACCCCGTTTCAACGTTTCACAATGTATCAAATACTTACTACGTTTTACTATGTTTTACTGCGGTTTACTACGGTAACCAAGGACCAAAACCAACATTTCATGTCAAGTGTACTTTAAGAATAACATCATTTGTATCTTACTTTCAATGTTTTATTGAAATTTTAGTTTACATGTCAATAAAATCACTAGGTTTATCACAGTCTGCAAGCTTAGTTTTTTGGCGGTAATTCTCATTTACGTCGTGGAGAAAACTTTCCAAACATAAACATACCTACAGTGCTTCATGTATGTTTCTGATTCTTTGAAAACTATACTTAAATGCTAGGTGTACATTGAGACATATATATGCTGTCAAATTTTATTTGACATAAGTTCAGTTAACGCTATTTGAAATACAAATGTGCATAGCAGACACATTACCTCTCACGCGATGTTTATGTTACCGTCACACGAGCGCACCTGTTGTTGTTTTTGTTATGTTTTCTTTCTTTTTTTTTTATCTTTTTTATCTTTTTTATCTTTTTTTTATCTTTTTCGCGTTTCGTCCGCGTTTCTTCCTCTGTTCATCTGTTGTTGGAGATGGAAAGCAGCAAAAAAAGATCAGCAAATTTTACAAATTCGGAAAACGAAGTTTTGGTTGATCTTGTGCATTCTTTTAAAGATATTTTATTTGCAAAATTTTCATCTGTTGTCACAGCCTCTACCAAACAAAAGAAGTGGGCTGAAATTACAGAAAGGCAAGTTTAATGGCCCTTTACTTGTAATTTTGAATTATGATAGTTATTCTTTGTTAATTGTATGAAAATATAAAAAACTTTAATTTTAATTTAATTTATTTTTTAAAAGTCATTCTTTAAAGTTTGTCTATTCTATTTCTTATAATTTTTTGTTCCATTCTATTTCTTATAATTTTTTTTTTTTTGCAAAAAAATTTTTAACTTTCTTTTAGGGTGAATTCAGTCTCAAATTTTAAACGTAGTGACAAGGACATCAAAAGAAAATGGCAAGACCTGGCTAGCATGTGCAAAAAAAGAGAAGCTGCAAGGAGGCGAGAATTAACTAAAACGGGAGGGGGGACCAACCCAATCCTTCCTACCCCAATCGATGAGAAGGTATGTAAAATAATATTGATTATTGTTAAACATTTTTAATCTGATGAAATTATATTATTAATAATTTTAATTTAATAATGCATGTTAAGTTGAGAAATGTATTGCTATATAACCAGTTAATATTTATGTTTTTAAATTTAGTTTGATTTAAAAAATTTTTTTGATGGTACGACTTTCAAAAATATTTAACACTGACTGTATTCATTGATAGATTATTGCAGTCCTCGGAAGGGATGCGGTGGAAGGCTTCCCTGGGGGGCAGGATACATATCTGAGTCCTAGTAAATCTGGTAAATATATATATATGAAGAAAATATTTTGTAAACACAATAACATGATATACTTTTATAGATTTCATAAGGAAAATCAATTCACTGAAATATTTAATATTGATATGACATTATGTTATGCCTGAAATAAAGATGATATGCCCAATTTTCAGCTACAAGCTATGTTTTAGCAGATCCATCAGGATCATCACAAGGTAAAAAAAATGTTAACTTTTTAAATATTAGAGAGTGATCAAGCCGTTTTTAAAGTTTTCATTAATATGGATCATAACCACAATTTTTATATGTAAAGGTACATCTTTTCAATATTTGAATTCTAATAATAATGATATTTTTTTCCAGCAACCACAGCAATTGCCCTCATGACAGAAGGATGTTCTTCTTTACTATTTGGTAATAAAGATTAAAATAAAATTAATTTTATGCTTCTTATTTTATTGGCTCATTCATAACAACATTGTGCCACCAGTGTAAGAAAATTAGAATTAAAAAATGTAAAGATTAAATTAAAATTCAGTGTATAAAACATTCCTTGAATTTTTTTTCAGATGAAAATGTGGAGACGGGAGAAGCAGCCCCCTCTCAGCCTGAGAATATAGATGACAGCACTCCGAAGAGGAAACGGCCAAAATTTTCCAGTGAGTATTAATTAAAAATATCACAGACTTCTTTATAGGCTAATTAAAAAATTATTCATTAGGCAGAAGTTTTCTATGATTTTTATTTGATTTTAATTATATTCTTTCAGATCATTTTGATGACTTACTAGAAGTTGAAAGAGGAAAGCTGGAACAACTTAAAAGATTCATACAAATTCAAGAAGAGCTGTTGGCAATACAAAAGGAAAATTTAGAAATAAAAAAAAAGAAATTTAGTATGAAGTTGTCCAAATTTGAGCTTGAGTCTATTATATTATAAATATGTACATTAATTTTTTTAACTTTTGATTGATCCTTATTGATTGAATATTCATAATACGCAGGTCAAGTTCGAAAGTTGGCACGATCTGACCATTTTTAAAAAAAGGTATGCCATTTTTTCACTTTTTCAGCATATATGTAACACCTGTGACACATTTTAATAAAAATTGATTGACCAATTGTCAACTTTTAAAATAAGCTTGAATGGTTAAGTTTTGGTGAAGTTATGCCTTTTTTGTGTATGCAAGTGTTTCTTCCTCAAATTTAATTCTCAGGCATGTTAACAGTCTTATTTTTGAACTAATTAGATATGTAAAGTGTTCTTTTGACATTTTCTGCATCTCAACAATATTGTTAGTTCATTTTAAAAATTTTTAAGGTAAACTTGTTATTGTGTATTGTGTAATAAAGTGTCAAAATTGGAAATAAACTCCTTTCTTTACAGTATGTGAGATTCAATAATTCACTATGTTCAGAATCTCTAAAGGAGCGAATTGGACAATTATCATAGTTCTATTGTTATTTTTCCTATGTCTACTATTTTTTTAGTTGATTATTTTAAAATGATAGTTAATATATTATTTTATTTTGTGTAAAATATGTTTTGAAAATGGAAAGAAAATCATTTTAGCACGGTTATCTCTTGTTTACATTTTGAAATTGTGACTTTGCAAAAGTATATGATTAATAAATACTTTGTCATCTTTTAAACCAGTGTTTATTATCATTATTACTATTATTATTAGAGAATTATTTGGTTTGAGTTTAAATATGCAATTTAGTAATGCCATATTAACTTCTGCAAAAAAATAAAAAATGCATAACATTATTGTATTAGCTCTTCTGTGAAAATGAGGGTGGCCCTGAAAAGGGCCTGGGAATAGGACGGTGCCCTATGCCCATACCAAAAAAAATTATGAAAACTTGTGCATGATGAGTTGCTCCCTGGCTCTGAACCCATCTGGACGGTCATTGCCAAGGAGGGGGAGCAGCTCATCAGGCTCCAACTGCTGGACATCCCCTGGTAATGGGAGTCCAGCACGAATGCACAGGTTATGCAACCTGAAACAGGCCATGATGATGTTACTGGCCACATCTGGGGAGTACTGTAGGCTGCCCCCTGATCTGTCCAGACACCTGGAAAAATAAAACAAGAAATTTGCTTAATCCAGAAAGCAAATGCTGATGCCAGAAAAGTTATTTGGAAAAAATATACATATGTTTTGCAAGTTTATGATATAAAAGTATTTAAAAATAATAATTACCTCCACCTGCTCTTTAAAACACCAAGGGCCCTCTCGATGCTGTTTCTTGTTGAAATATGTGCCCTGTTGTATCTAGTTTCAGGGCCTGTTAGAGGGTTGGCTTTGGGAGTCATGAGATATGGGCGCAGAGGATAACCAGAATCCCCCAGGAGGAATCCTGGAATATCCTCTGCGTCCATACCTTCAAAATGCTGGCCAATCCCACTGTTGGTAAAGATGAAGCTGTCGTGGGTGCTCCCCGGCCATCTGCACACTACATCAGTAAATCTTTAAAAAAAAATTAATAAATAAAATAAACAAAATCTGATTTTAATGAAATAATATTTTACAATGGTATTTAATTAATTTAAATTGCTGTATATTTCAAAGCGTAAAAAAAATATTGAAAATTAAAATGATTTCTACTGTCAATTTGGGGGATTTTTTTTTTTTTTTTTTTTTTTACAGAAATGGAAGTTTTTCCTTTTTTCTCAACCATTATTCAATAAACCTGACTGGAAGGAACAACCAACACAATTGCAGTAGTTGTGATTGCTACACGTGACCCAATTACGTGTGTTTACATTTTGACGATATCATGACAGATATATAATTATATATATTGGCCTTGGACTGTTAAAAATAAATGATAAGAGAAAAATTTGTACTTACATAAGTTGAGCATTACAGATAGCCTGGACATTTATGGCATGGAAGCCTTTGCGGCAGACGTAGGCGTTTTCAACGTCAGCCGTAGGGGATTTAATGGCAATCATGGTGCCATCCACACACCCCAGCACTCGCGGGAATCCGGCGATGGAATGGAATTCATTTTGTGTTCTGCGCACCTCGGCCTGTTCACTTGGAAAGTGAACAGACAGAGAGTGGTCGTCAGAAGCACAAATGGCTTCCACCACCGCACGGATTGCCCTTGAGGCTGAGGGTTGGCTGACACCATGAATGTCCCCTACGACTGACTGAAAACTCCCAGTCGCGAGGAACCTCAGAGCCACCAGTACCTGCTGGGTTGGGGTCAGAGCGTGCGACCTGTTGGTGGATCTAACAAGCGCCGGCTCTAACACCCTCACCAGCCTCCGGATCTCTTCCTTGCTTAGCCGATACCTGGATACCGTTTCAGCATCCGTGAATCGGCCAAGCTGGTCAATCCTCTTCCTGTACACGCGGGGTGCCTGGACTTTTTCAACATCGAAAAAAAGATAAGCTGCCATCTCTCACGAGAAATATAGCTGCAATGAGTGATTTTTGGCGTCTGCTCGTTTATATACCCATAGATACCCGGGAAATTATCGGCACCAATCAATATTGATCTTCCCTATGACTGATCGGCTCTTGATTGGGTAATATTTACATTATTTTTTGACACTATTTGACCATTTGTTTTTCCAAAAAAAAATTTATTTAACACTGTGACACCAACAACAGTTCGTTGATTTTAGTAGTTGAAGTGTTTTTCCAACATAATTCAATGAGTTGTTATCGATCTTTAATTTTCAATTTCAATCAAATTTGGGGGGTTTTCCACCCATGTCGAAGCGCTTTAAGGGGGAATTCCCGCTCAGGGAATCCCGCCAGGAATCCCCACTTTGACCTACATAAAAATAAAGAGTAAAACATGAAAAGATACTTTAAAAGATAAATGTGTCCCTTGAAATAACCTTTAAGGACGAATACATAGACTGTCAAAACACACATCATTTCATTTATTGTGATCTATAAGAATTATTGACCTTTTTTTGAGGGCACTTGGCCCATTATATATTTTCTCGCCTCATAAGAGAGGAGAGTTCCGAGCTTGGAATAAGTATATATGTATTGTTTTTTTTTTCTTTACACATTTGCAGTTTAAATTAATGAGTATCATTTCCATTCGGCCCATGCAATTAATAAATGTGTAATTTATTCATTAAACCTATCAAAGTATTTGCAAATATTTTAAACACATGTAGGCCCTACATACAAGATCAATAGCCATTGAATTTTTTTTTTTACCTGGATGTTCACAGTAATATACAGAAAGGGAGATCACCCTATTTGGACATATAATTTAACTAGTTTTTTTTAAATGTTTCAACACCTAACATAAATAAATAAGTTTAACTGACTTATTATTGGTCTTAAATTCTTTTAACATGTAAAATCTGTTTTGCTACAAACTACAGTACACTAGTTACAGCTGAAGCAAATTCCCAAGTTGAATTCACTATTCTAATTACAAAATTACTTAATTTACCTTTTAAAATAAGCTAAGAAAGTGTTTTAATAGCAGAAATCTTCCAAAAACATAACTTACGTAGTAAGAAATATCACTGAATTTCCACTTTTATCAGTCCCCTTTCCCCATCAAAATGAAGAAATCAAATATACTTTCAAATGCAGGCATCAGCTGAACAAGGTCACCACAACAACACTTAAAAGCCATCAAAATTTCCAAGAAGTTATTATTATTGTTTTTATTGAGATGAAATAAATAAATCGTTGTACATTCATTATTATCATAAGAAAATTGAAAATTTTTAGTTCATGAAGAAGTCTAATAATGAAATACAGTGATTCCTCTGAGAAAAAGATTTAATTAGGGTGTATTCTGGTTTATTTCGACTCAGCCTTAGAGTGGACCAAACAGATAATACTAAATAAATTAAAGAAATATATTTTGCAGTGCAAAATCAAATTCAAAATGAAACAGAAGAAAAAAAAGCTGTAATTTTCATGACAGAGTGCAACCAAATCAAGTGTCGGTTTAATCTAAATAAGAATTTAATCTGGAAGTTTGTAATGAGGATAATGTTATGTAACTTGTAAAAATATTATAAATACTATAAAAAATGCCTAAATGTACATGTACAACCTGTTACAAGACCACGCATAAATAGGAAGTCTATTTGGGTATTTCAAATAGTTTTAGTCATTCTTTTTCCTTCAATGATGAATACCTCATTATTTGAATTGGAATTTCCTTCATTGAACTTGATAAACCTAGTCTATAAAATAAGCTAAAATACTGGTTGAATGCCTACAATTATTCGATAGAAGATGATAAGTAGTTATAATCGTCACTGAATGTTGCCATTCCATTATTATTTACAACTCCCTGTAGTCTATAGAATACTTTTAATGAAAATTATATACAGTTCCAAATATAGCCATCAGCTGATCGAGGTCACCACGTCGCCGGAAAGGGGGTCAACATTTGCAATTTTTTTCTACACGCCTTTATTCCTTTGGCATGTTCTCGATACTTTTTTGATACATAGTGTATAGCATATCATTTTAAAGCATTTGAAACGGGCTTTTTAGTTTTGTACGACACATATATTTTCTCCAGCACATGTATGGAAAGGAGGCATAAGAAACTGAGTCATAGAAATGCCGATAAAAATGGCGATTTTTAGATACACCTTCACGAAAAAACACCACAGGATTTTTGGAAAACAACATGATAACATCAAACTTTATACATCAGTTGAAGCCAATTTTCTTCCGAACAAAACCACATCTATTAAACTTGGTGTTTTGGTATAATTTTAATTAATTCACTGACTAAACATGTATCTTCATCCTAAAAAAGTCGGAAGATTCAAAATCTGAAATTCAGCCGCGGATCAATTTATTAATTTTGAGTAACAAATAAAGTGCTTTATATCGCCAAAAAGCTCATTAACTTGGCTTTCTTGCAGCATTAATAGTTCTTCCTCTTTCTTTAAAAAATATAAGTTTTCGTTTTAATTTAAAAATTCGGACACCCTGCCAAACTGCCATGTTGCCATTGCGCGATCGACAGAAAAGTATTATTCTCATCTAAATCGTTAACTGTAGGCAACTAACCTGAAATATCCGAAAGGCTAACCTATCTCGCTGATAATAATACATCCAAAGTTTAATAATTTTACTTGCTGTCAAAAATATCCAACAATAAACACGAGTATAAAATTTCAGCAGACAACACTTTCTCCCCGACTTTTCACCA